CTTCCCAAATTCATTGTTCTTTCTAAAATGCCTGCCATTATTCTTTCTAATGCTTCTCTTACATAATACTTGCATCAAATACGTTTCACAGTTTTGCTATGGAGCCATCGGATGGCTCGGCTTATGGAGCCATCCACAGTTATTCACAAATAATGTATTGACACGTGTCCTACAATAAATGCACTTTGGACAAGTGTCAATACACTAAGTCATGGATGGCTCCATAAGAAAACCATCCGATGGCTCCATAGAATTTTTGATACATTTCATACTAATATTCTAAATAATAATAATAAAGTTATATCAAATCATTCTCTCACAACCCTATCAATTTCAATAACCATTGATCTGAGGCCTTGGGTTTGGACCCGTTGTTCGCTAATTATTTTTCGCTATCCGCAAGTGTACGGTGTAGCTATAGGTAGTGGCGAGCAAGGTCGTATTCCACAGAGATTGTAGTTAAATTAATTAAGTACTAAATTAATAACGATCAAATATTATTTAGACTAACGAACGAGATGATGATTATGAACTAGGAAATTAAACTAAGAAAACTAATTACCTAAAACAATAAAAATAAATCAAGATATAAAAGATAGATTATAGGTTATGCTTTCCTCGGAATTAATTTATGAAACATTTATATTCATACAAACCTTATTTAATTTTACCAATCGTAGAGATAATCGCTAAATTGATTTCAACCTTTCTCTCGAACAAGCAAATCGTAAATATTAATTGTTATCTATCTCCTCTCGGTCTCAAGATGAACAACTAACTCCCATAAGTTCCTAGGATTTTTTTTCTCTTGTAAGATTCTATCAACCTCTCGGTATGTTTAGTCTCCTACGTTATAAATTTCCCAATTCTAGCAATCAATTATCTCCTCTCGGTCTCAAATCAATTACAAATATGCATTCATAGCGGCCATCTACTCACACAATAATAATACGCACAAGAAATTTATAAACGAAAGATAAACCGGAATGAAATAAATAAAAACTAAATCATAAATCAATCCGAGTACTAACAAATCCTAGAATCCAAAATAAATTAGCCTAGAAACATGCTTTCAAAATAAATATAAAACATTGAGTTCGAAAGAAGAAAAGAAAAAAAGAAAGAAAAAGCTTATTCGGCTCCGTCGATCCCTTCTTCCCAGGCTTTCTCCCTCGTCTTGCTCGTGTTTCTAACCTCCAAAAACTCTCCAAAGATCTGAAAATTAGGTTCAAGACTCCTAAAAAAACGTGCCCAAGTGTTCCTTAAATAGTTGAGGTCGAGTCCTAGTCGAAATAGGTCGAAAATACCGAAAAAAATAGGAAAAACGCGCAAAACGCGTATTGGTCGCGCCCAGGGTCACACGACTCGTGTCACATGCCACACGAGTCGTGTGAGAAAGTCGAGAGCATGATACGCGACCCGTCGGAACGACACGAGTCGTGTCTCGGTCTCACACGACCCGTGTGTGTCTGGGCACCTGAAACAGCTCTGAAACTTCACTTTGGCCGCCTCGTATTTCATCTCCTGGTCGAGTTTCAGGCGTCTCCATAAACTCCCGGTGGTCGAACGGCGATCAGGTCACTGCCATGGCGAGTTCCGGTGGCTCCCGCTCAGCCCGGCATGGCAGGTCCTCCCCGACCGACGCGCATCTCTTCGAGGCGTCTTCTCCGGTGACCATAGCAGGTGGTGGAGGTCGATTTTCAAGCTTCCAGTGGTGTCGAAACGTCGGGTGAAAAGCTTCTCGAAGCTTTAATGGCTGCCATGGGTTTTCTATTCACGTACATGATGGGAGGGAGAAGATGGCTCCAATTTTAATGCACATAGAAAAGACCAACATGCCCCCACTTAAAGTTCTGATTTGGGCTGGTAATATGGACCAATATTGGGCTGAGTAGTTAGACTTTGATGGGCTGTGCAATTTGGTCTCTCCCAATACATGGCTCTTATTCGTTTTTCGTCTGTTTTTCACACCGTTTTCACCTCCAAAAAATTATTCCGACCTATTTCCTGTCAAAACTAAAATAAAACACCTCATCATAGCTTAATAAATATAATTAAATATAAATTAATTAAATAATAATTAATTAAATATAATGAATTATAAATCAAACTACGACGAAACGGACACAAAAAATCACTATAAAATGCACGTAAAAATGACGCATGTCACCCGTCAGCCGGGAAAAGACCACCGGGCCCTGGCCTGTCCTGAGACCCCCCTCGAGATGGTTGGGTCCGGTACAGGCTCCGAGAAGGCTTGAGCAAGCTCGACTGCCGAAGCCGCTTTGCCAAACCGCACAAGTGGAAAGTGGACGGGCACAGTTAGGTCCACGGGCTTGTGCCAGGTCTCGGGCGATGGGGCTCTCTGATTACTGTTCTTATCAATGTCCGCCTGATTATTCTTCCGGAGGTTGTTGGTATCGGGCGAGGTCGCCTTCATTCTTTAATTTAATCACAGGGTAATTAGTTCAGTACAGAATAATAAACTGTTTTTAAGATGTGAATTAAAGTGGAGGCAAGTAAAATGTGATTACCTTAAGGGGGATTGGCTTTCGTAAATGCTCGCGTCATCCTCGATTCCTCTCTCCTTTAGGACCTGGTATTAGATTCATGAACAGCAAATCTAAATAATGGCAGGGCTCATAAGAAAGTTCAATCCTATGTGAAACTGAGATGCCCAATACTGATAAATTTGGTCTACTGATAAATTTGGTCCAGTGGGAATCACTTATATGGGCTAAAAACGAACCAATTCTCGCGGGCGGCCTCCGCCAAAAACGGTCCCTCTGGAAAGAAGAACAAAAAAGAAGACAGAAATGTCAAAAGGGCATAAAATTCACACTGGGGAGAGGATTGAATTTTAACATAGAAATGACAGAGAGGAACAAAATGTCTGGCTTCTTTTTTACTCCTTAATTACGCTAGATCATTAGAGAACATAACGGCAATTATATTATATGGAGAAGTATATAACTAATGAGAAAGCCAAAGGCATAATTTGAAGTCCATTGACCTTTTGGATTCATCGTTTCCTTCCAGCTGCTCCGTAGTCTGTGACCGGGGCATCAAATTCAGTTTTGGACGCTCCGGAGCTCGATCAACAACCACCGGTCCACCAGCCCCAGACTGTAAGGAAATTTTAGGCTCATGTACAGCATAGCTATCCTCCACATGAAGTTGATTACTAGTCTGATAAAAAAAAAAAAGGAAGTCAAGATGATGAACATTGAGTTGAATTCAAATTTATACAAGCTCAGATTAAAAACAAAGCAGCCTAGCTTTCCAAACATACTTGTTTATAATCAGTCGGCATTTCCACATTCTCGATCGGTTTTGATCTCGGGAGTAATTTCAATCTTGGCCGTTCAGATGATTCTAAGGGCACTACTGGCTGTAGCTCGTCAGCTGCAACTGAGGTGTCCCTCTCAAACGAATCCACACGAGCAGTCGATTTAACCCTATCCTGAGATATCACTTCTTTTCTGAAGTCCAGGCTTCCCAATAATTCTGGCCTGTCCCGTGTACTTTTACCGTAGATGTTTTCCACATGCAAAGGAACCTCAGATTCTTTCGGAGAATGAACGTTCTGTTTCAAGTTCCTCCTGCCAGACAGATACCTTCTCAAGAGCACTCGCGTGGGCCAACTTGGTCTCGGGCCTCTCGGCATCGGGAGAGGACCATACAGCAGAAACGGACCCTTTTATGCCGGCATCCTCTTTCCCTACTCCCCAAGCATTTGGATAATTCAACCCGAAACTGCGATTGGCGCTAAGGGTTGGATTATTTGGCCTCACGTTAGAGACCTCACTAACACTACCCGCATAAGAAGTAGCAGCCGCTAAAACAGACCGGCTACCAACTTTAGGCTCCATGTCACTTTCATCAACTATCGGCCGACGAGTGCCCGACAGCCCGTCTAAAGGCTTTCGCTCATCCTCATCGAAATTGCAGCCTATAAGAGACCCGTGGCTTAAAAAAATGGAATCTTTTCGTCGAGGTTCCTAGTTGAGCTCGCGGAGGCGGGTCGTACCCGATGTTCGGCCCTTGCTGCTGATAAAATTCGAACTTGCTCATGCCCAAATACGGAGAATAACAAACCAATTTCATATCACCATAAAACCCAATCAGAAACACAACCATGAACAGAATCACCGATACG